GCACCCACTCTCTGAGACACACAACATCCACAAACACACATATGCCAAACAAAAAATAAAACAAAAAATTCCTCCTCCACGAGTGGAAAAAAAAAACCCAACAATGCTAGACCCTGAGTAGGCACTCAGAAATACCTTTTCATGATCCCCAAGCCTGGTCCTCCATTGTAAAATTAGAATTTAACAAGCAAGCAATCTTACTAGAAAACTTGATACCTGGACCATGGGTAAGTCTACATGGAACACTCCAGACTATGTGATCAATTAAGAACAGTACTTGGTTTTAAAAGTGCACCATTAGCTCATGAAAGGAAGCAACCCAGCAGTTTTCTCCCTAGGACACTGAGGAAGACAGGGAGAAGGGAAAGTTTATGAGAAAAGACAAGGACTTTAGTATTTGCCGCATAGCTGTGAGGAAGCAGTCAGATCCCTAGTCAGCTACACATACATGGGTAAGTATAGGAGGGGCTTCCCAGGAAGCTCAGCTGGTAAACAATTTGCCTGCCAATGCTGGAGACACAAGAGAGTCAGGTTCGACTCCTGGGTCAGGAAGATCCCCTGAAGGAGGAGATGGCAACCCACTCTAGTATTCTTGCTGGAACATCAGAGGAGCCTGGTGGGCTACAGCACACGCGGTCACAAAGAGTCGGACATGACTGGCGCACGTGCACGCGTGTGCGCGTGCACACACACACGTGCACACACGCATAGAGGAGACCCTTCTGAACCACTGGGAAACACCTGGGACAGCGACAGAAACACGTGTTACTGATTCAAGCTATAGCTTCTCATCCAGACCTGTGGGAGCTACTGAGTGAGGATCTCAGTCATTCTGAAGTTTGGCCAGAATTCAGAATAGCAAGTCTGTATAGAAACCAAGCAAGCAGCCCAAGACAAACATTTTAACTATAATATGAACAATTAAAAAATTCTAAAATTCATTCAGTCAGTCCCATCTGAGAGAGGGGTCTTTTGGATGGAACCAAGTTAGCAGACTTAGGTGAGCTGAGCTGATGGGACTGTCTTCTGCTTTATGCCACCACTTTCTGTTCAGTTATCTGAGAGTTATTTTTCTTGGCCCAACTTTGAGGAACACTAGATTTCTACCTGTTATAACCCATAAATTGAGGCTAAGGATCGTCACATGTGGTCACAAGGTGATTTCAGAGCCACTTCCAAGTATTTCAAAATGTAACTCAGTTTCTTCACTTGAAATGTTTATATAAACTGGCCAAATATTGGTTTTCCATTACATTATCTATTTGTTGTTGTTCAGTCATTAACTCGTGTCTGACTCTTTGCAACCCCATGAACTGCAGCATGCCAGGCTTTCCTGTCCTTCACCATCTCCTGGAGTTTGTTCAAACTCAGGTCCACTGGGTCAGTGATGCCATCCAGCCATCTCATCCTCTGTCATCCCCTTCTCCTCCTGCCCTCAATCTTTCCCAGCATCAGGGTCTTTTCCAATGAGTCAGCTCTTCGCATCAGGTGGCCAAAGTATTGGAGCTTCAGCCTCAGCCTCAGTCCTTAGAGTGAATATACAGAGTTGATTTCCTTCAGGATTGACTGGTTTGATCTCCTTGCAGTCCAAGGGATTCTCAAGAGTCTTCTCCAACATCACAATTTGAAACCATCAATTCTTTGGTGCTCAGCCTTCTTTATGGTCCAACTCTCACATCCATACATGACCACTGAAAAAACCACAGCGTTGACTAATGGACCTTTGTTGTTAAATTGATATCTCTGCTTTTTAATATGCTGTCTAGGTTTGTCATAGCTTTTCTTCCAAGGAGCAAGCATCTTCTAATTTCATTATCTATTTAGTAGGAGAAAACACATTTCACTATGACACTGAGTCAGAGTGATTTTTCTGGGCCATGATTCCTGAAGAATTGTGTCCTTGCTGTCGTCAGAAGTGGTCTGCTCTCTGACAACATTGTACCAGGACTGACTTGTTGAACAGAATCACCACTGAGAGTGAACGGGCCCTCATGTAGCAGGGTGCTCGAGCTTATAGCCCTACTGCCAGCCCTATAAAGTCAGCCTTCCCTGGATTAAGCTCTTTTTAACTCTTGATTATTTAATGTCTTACATACTACAACCAGCATTTTAAATCGGGATTTGGCCCTTCCTGCAGTTTTCCGAAGGGCACACATTTGGAAGTCAACTAATTAAGAGCGTTCTCTTCTTCCATCACCTCAAGTACTTTGTACACTGAGAGAATATTTTTATACTTGTGGCTGTGGTAATTTTTAAGCTGATGCTACCCCAGGGGCTGCAGATGCAGAAGAGGCAGATAGAGGGAAAGAATGGCTTGTGACTCAAGGAGAGCTTTGTGCGCTGGCAGTGACACAGGGAAAGGAGAATATTATGTCAAACTGCATTTAACCAAGAAAATTTGTAAACACATTTTTCTGCCTGAAAATGAGTACCCAGTTTGAGGAAGAGCACATTCATCTCTTTATCTTCAGAATTAAATTGAGTGCTCAAAAAAAAAAAAAGTCTATGAGCTGCAATTCGATGAAACAAAGATTGTACCTAAAAACCAATGAGGTGTGGAAGTTGTTTTAAATAAGGAGAAAGATAGCAATCTTATTCCAATGAATCTTGGCCCATGAGATGGAAGAAGCTCATGACTGTATCTTGGGCAGGAGCATTTCTGACTAAATTCTGAGAAGAAATGCATGACTATTGGGTTAGCCACGTATTACTATGACCAAGTTAAAAAAAATAAAAATCAAAAAGCAAGAATTTTTTTTTCATAAGAAGTGGGGAAACATGAGACTGTGGACTCAAATGTGCTTGTGTTTGTGGAAAGAAATATTGGAGGGATGCAAGAGGGGAGGGAGTGTTGGAACAGATAGGAGGGTAGGCAGCAGTAATGTGGGTGAGAGGTTTGTTTTTTCTCCTGTATACATTTTTATTATCATTTTGTTTTTTGCACTAATGTGAACACACCACCTACTCAAAAATTATGCTTATTAAAATAATGAAATTAAGTAGGAGATAATAAAAACAAAGGACAAGCTATATAAATAAGAGGTTGGGAATAAGAGAAATAATATTCCTATCAAAATAAGTTGAAGCTCATGTATGAATAATTCGCTAACTGTTAAGACTTGCTAAAGCTAGGTTGTAGGCACCTATTACTTGTTACATTATTATCTTTATCTCAGTTTGTAAGACTGAACTATTTCCTCCTCCAAAAATTAATTTGTTTGAAAACACCTTTATTTCATCAAAATTCTATCCTTAAGCCAATGGAGAAATGATTTTATGAAAACCTAGACAATGTAATGGCAATCTGCATTATTACTTGCTTTTTTACTTTCATAATCTTATGTGATTTCAGCATTCACAAATAAGTAGACATTCTGATAAAATACACATGGACATTCATGAAATATTGCACAGTGGAGTGAAAAATTAATAAGGAAAGCAGGTTTCTGCCCTCAAGTTTATATTCCTTAGCCCTGAAAACTTTTTTTTTCAAGCCCTGGAAACTTAATGCTAGAGTTGTGTTGCCTTTCCAATTTTGCAAAATCTTTAACCAATGTCCTCTGTTTCCCAGACTCTCTCCTCTCACACTCTGGGAACTAAATCCAAACCAAGCAAAGACTGGGTAAAGAAAATCCTCAGCCCTAGGTAACTAGGGCCGACAGGATATCTTGGCTCACTTCTAGTCCTGAAAGAAACCTGTGAGTCCAGGGTAGACTGTATGCCAATCACCTGGGGCAAGAGATACTCCAGAATTTGGATGACAATCTCAGGGATATTTTGGACCTATGGCAAATCACTAGGAGGAGACTCTTGGTAGGATGAAAAGCAAATGTGATGAGCAAGCTGAAAACACTCAATTTCTTGGGATCACTTAAAACTAGGCATGTCTCATCCAGACCCACAGTTCTGGAACCTCCTGTGAGGGGCTACTCAGTAAATGACTTTTAGGTCTGGTGAACTTGGATGTGGGACCTAGCCAGCAAACTTTCCCTTTGCATTTAACTCAGGTTCAATGAAGATAAGCACTGTGCATCGGCATGGCAATATTTCCTTTTTTTTTTTCATAATTAGATTTTTTTTTCTTTTTGAAAATTATATAAACTCATAATTTATAATCTATTTATTTATTTGTTTATTTTTGGCCATACCATGTGCTGCATGTGGGGGTCTTAGTTCAATCCCCAGCCAGGGATTGAACCCATGCCCCCTACAGTGGAAGCTCAGAGTCTTAACCACTGACTGTCAGGGAAGACCCAGCAGGGCAACATTTCTAGTCCTACATCTCAACTGCTTACCACTTAGACAGTGTCCTTGTGTCAGAGATCATGAAAGACCCTTTGCATACTTGATCTTCGAACAGGACAGTAACCCAGCAAGACTGTTGCTACTGGTTCCAATTTACAAATGAGAATAACTGAGGCTAAAAGAGTTTAAGGATGAAGCAAGTTCCTTAAGGCCATAGAGATTATTTATAAGAGAACCATATTCAAAAGTCAGGTCTGTCTGATTCTGAAAGCCATGTTTTTTCTACTCCCGCATACAATCTCTGACATAGCACCTTTTTGCTTTAGTGGTTTGAACATTATAATGATGACACATCTGCACATACTCTTTGTACCTGAGCACATTTAAAGTCACCTGGGTTTCCCTTGTGGCTCAGATGGTAAGGAATCTCCCTCCAACGCAGGAGACCTGGGTTTGATCCCTGGGTCGGGAAGATCCCCTGGAGAAGGGAATGGAAACCCACTCCAGTATTTTTGCCTGGAGAATCCCATGGACAGAGGAGCCTGGTGGGCTACTGTTCATGGGGTTGCAGAGTTAGACACAACTGAGCAACTTTCACTTTACTTCATTTCATAAAGACAAATGGCAGTTGCCTAAAAACAATTGCTTGGGAATGCAAAGCTATTCAAAAGATAAAAATTACATTTGCCTGCATGTAACCACAGTATTTAAAATATTAAACAAATTGTAACCCCAAAGAAATGCATAAATCTTACCACCTTCCTCAGGTTTCATGTCTAAAAGTTCATCTACAGGTTCATCAGAGGAGAAGAAAGAAAAGAAAATTATGTTAGTTTCATTTTGTAAGGACTTTGAGTCAAATTACTAAAATTGAGTTGTTTTCCTTAATCTGGATTACCTGAGCATGCATTATGTGTAGAGCTTTTGTCTAAGGCAGATAAAATACTTTTTCTATCTTCGGCTGTAAATAAAACACATGCATTTGGTTATCACCACTTTAGAAAGGTGTGCGAGTTCATCTACTAATGTGCTATAAGGTAAGCACATGCTTCAGGAACAAATGTATCTGAAAACTCACTCAGGCAGAAGCAGGGGTCCTCAGATGACATTTTACTCAAGCAATTGGCTCTCAATGAACGCTGAGTTAACTGCCCTGAATCTTTGCTTTGTTTGGTAGAAAAACTATATGCCACTGATCTAACAATTCTCCTTCCAGGGACACATGCGTGACTTAAGTACCCAACGACAAGTTGCTGGGGCTAATGAACCTCAGTCACGTGGGCCTGGCTAAAATAAAAGGGCAGATTACTGGGTGAAAGAAGCCAACCTATAAAGGCTATACAGCAAGATTCCAACTATATGACATTCTGGGAAAAGCAAAACAACGGTGACACTGAAAAGATCAGCGGTTGCTAGAGTTTGGGGGAGGGAAAGACGAATAGGTGAAGTCACAGGGGATTTTTAGGATAGTGAAACCACTCTGTATGATACTGTAACAATGGATATGTGCCATTATACATTTGTGAACACCTACAGACTGTACAACATCTAATGTAAACTATGGAATCTGAGTAATAATGATATGTCAATGTTGGTTCATTGATTATTTACCCTGGTGGGGGATGTTGCTAATGGAGGTGTCTATACATGTGTGGGGGCAAGGAACATGTAGGAATTCTTTGTGCCTTCTGCCCAATAAAGTGTGTGTGTGTGTGTACACAACAGCATAGCCTTAAAACTTGGTTTGCTCATATGTACATTAGACTTTCTACAAGTCCCAGAATGAAAGACAGATGGCACCTCTTTCTATGGATTCCATTCTATGTATCTATAAAACAGGGTAATCAACAGGTACAATCTCAAAATATTATGCAACTACCACAGACAAGTGAACATACTGCACAAAGAGAAAACTTCATCCCCCAGTGTTGTCACATGTTGTATAAATGCCTTGAATACAAACATAAAACTGGAATTTACATGTTTCCACAAAAGTAAAATTTTCCTGTTCAACTGCTTATGATTCCCACAGGATTCAGGCTATTGGCCTTGCATGATCCTGAGGTCGGTGGGTGTGGATCAGTACCGTTCAGAGAACTCGTACATGGCCAGCCTGCCTCTCTGACTTCTTCTGCCACTTCCTCCATCCCTCACACTTTAGGACCTGTTTCCCTGACTTTCTCCTGGTTCTCCATGGCTCACAGTCTTCACGCAGGCTGTTTCTTTTGCTTTGATAGGTCTTGCAATAGCCTTGACCGAGATAATTCCCCGATGCCCTCAAACAGGTGAGGGCTCCCAATCACAATTACCTGTAAACAGCCCTTGTAGCACTCACCCAAGTTGGAGTTACCCAGTAACTTGTATAATAGCTCGCCGCATGTTGGAAGGATCTACCACTGAACACCCAGAGCCCCGAGCTGTGCCCGCCACAGATAAACATGTGCTGAACAAATGAACAAAGACGTGAATAAGGGAAGGCAAACAAGGATGAAAGGATGACAGGAAGTCAAGCTGTGGAGGCAGAAAGGTGACAGTTTATTTTTCCTGTTCAAAGACAGATGGAAGAAAAGCGAACGAAGCAGTAAAATGGGAGAAGAAGAAGAATAAAGCAGGTGAAGTGGTTGGAAAGGTAGGAAGAAAGATGGAAGGAAGACAAAGCCTGATGGAAGGGAGGCGGGGTTCCGGGGTGTACTCTGCCCGTCGGGTCTCCAGGAGGCGACGGAGCAGAGTGGAGGTGGGCATGTCCTGGGAGGGCCAGGCTGAACAGGAGTTTGGGGTCCTTTCAGATCTCTTCACAGTATGTAAGCCTGTTCCCTTCATCTCCAAGGATTCGAGTCCCAGTGAGAGACTCAGTTTTCCATCCCGTGAGTTCCCTCACACTTAACCCCACCCTGTGCTCCTTAGGAGAGAACTGCTGCTGAAAGTGCGGGCTGCAGTGGCAGGAGGCGGGATTGCTGGCAAGCCCCCCACAGCACAGCATCTGGGTCCCGAGTGCCGGGATCCCTCAGGACGAGAGGAGGGTCAGTATGCCCCAGGGACCTGGTGTCACTCAGTGAGGAGGGGCCTGGCGGGCTACAGTGCGTGGGCTCACAAAGAGCTGGACAGGGCTGAGCGACTAACACTTTACCTTTACACCTCACTAGTACGGAGCAGGCCCAGGAACTCCCCGGAAGAGCAGAGTCTGAGCCCTCCCATTGGATTCCCAACAATGACCAGCACCCAGCCCATGACACAGCAGAAATCAAACCCCCCCAGTGTCACCACGTGATCTCATCACAACCATCTCCACGGCCCAAACATTAGTTACAGCTCGTAGTGGTAACGCAGCAATGCTGTCACCTATTGTAAAGCAAACAGCTCTCTGCCGAGTCTCAATTGTAATGCCCCCCAACAGGCTGCTGCTGAAATCACTAATGATGGCTGTTTTTTTGTTCAAAATACACAGCCTCTCTCCATAATACTCTGGGGTCAGCAGCACTGATATTTGAACTTTAAACTCTTAAAAAGCAAAGTAAATACATAATTTTTTCAATTGGGAATAAAAAGGTCTAGAAGGAGTTTGACAAGAGAAGAAAATGGGTTGGCTATAGTGCAGTAGTATTTCAGAAGCAATTCTAAAAAAAAAAATCGAAACTTACTCTTAAAACTAGAGGATTCCTTGTGTTGGTTTTCATCCTCTAGTGAAATTAACCTTAAAATTAAAAAACAAAGTTTAGTAACATTGTTCTGAAAATGTCATACTTATGACAGAGTCAGATCTTCTGTACAGTATCTATTACTATACTTACACACACATAAAATATGAACCTATAGCCATTTACAGGCTATACATTTTTGGAAGAAGAAGTAAATTTGCTGACTTTCTCCTGTCCCTGGTGTTCAGTAGTATCTTAACATCTGGATTTGGTTTCATGCTAAGGCACGTATTTCGTAAACATCTAAGTCGGTATTTAGGTATAACAAAGATAGATACTTACCATCATTTTTAAAAACACAGTTAAAAAACTGATGGACAAGTGAGTGTTTATTCTGATTTTGCAGTTACAGAAGAGGACACCTCAGGAGTTTAGCTAAATTACTGTACGTAAGGCTAAAAGCAGGATCACTCTCAGATTCACAAGACTGTCACCTACTGAGCTCTCACTGTTCATGGGGAGCATCACGGCAGGGACACTTCACTGTCCTGAGATCCAGCCAGTGCCTCTGAACCTCCCTCCTAGCACAGTGGTTCACTTTACCTACCATTTCTGAACAAAATTCTTATGAAATTTTCAATGTCATTAAAAATAGTTACTGGGTTATACTTTTTGAGCGTTAAACAGGAAGTACTAAAATAATGAAGAAATATGAAATTAATTAAAACTAATCAATACCATCTTGGGTGGTTCTTCCTCTCTGAGTAAAAGTTAATACTTTATTTTGATTGCAGTAACACAAGGTGAAAAGAAGGCACCAGAACTCACTGCAGGCCCCGCCCCTGACCACACAGGGGCTGTGGGCAGACCTTTAACCTCTCTGAGCTCGCTTCCATCATTAACACAACAGGGAGAAGCCTACCCTGATCACATGGAGGGGCATCATGAGAACGAGCTGAGATGACATGAAGAAAGCACCTGGCATTGTGTTTAGTACACAGTAGGTGTTCACTAAATGGCAGTTGGATTGCCATCGTGTGCGAGTCGCTCAGTCCTGTCAGATTCTTTGTGACCCGACGGCCCATAGCCTGTCAGGCTCCTCTGTTTGTGGAATTTTCCAGGTAAGAATACTGGAGTGGACTGCTATTCCTTTCTCCAGGGGATCTTCCCGACCCAGTAATCAAACCCAGGTGACCTGCATTGCAGGCAGATTCTTTACCATCTGAGCCACCAGGTAAGCCCAGATTACCATTACTACTGGTAATAGGTTAAACTGCTTCCACCTAAGAGAGTCAACTGTACCAGATTCAGACCACATTCTATAGTTGTTCCTGCAATAAAAAAATTATCTTTGTTTTGCAAAAAAGACATTTTCTCGTACTTGCTTTAAAATTACAGAGGGCCACTATAGGCAGCAAATATTTCTGCTGGACAAAAAAGATCTATCTGAACTTATTTTGAAACCCAGTAGAAATGTAAGCCTGTTTTACCACAAGATTTACCTGTTTTACCACAAGTCATCTAAACTTTTTTGTGTGGACAAGGAAGAGTGAATGGAGGTCAGGCGAACTACTTTGCCTTCGTAGGTCAGCCCGTTCTCATGGGCTATGTCATCTAACCAGAAAAAGCATAGATTCACACTGAAACCTCCTCCTTGCTGTATGAGGTTAGGAATTATACACCATGTATGTGGAAAAGTTCATCTTTATTTAAAATGACTGGAGGCACCTTCTCTATAAAGAGGCAAGAAATCAAGATGGAGTCCCTTCCCACTCTCAAAGCTGCTCTCTGCTTCACAGAAGAGAAAATGGAAGGTCTGTATGTAGAAAACAAAACGTCAAAACCCAACACTTGTGTAGGAGAACCCCAGAGGGCTACACGTGTTGTGAAGCAAGTTCATGGGTTATTTCCTCCTGTGAGTGAGAAGCCGGGGATTTCCCGTCTAGGACAGGCCCTCAAAACTGATGGTGACGAAAGGAACAGATAGGGTCCAGGCACCCCGGAGAGTGAGAGCCTGGGGCCCAGGCCAGGAGCCCTGGCACTCCTGCCTCTTTGGCCCCAGTCAAGTCCTCTCAAGCCTCCCTTCCTAAAGACCCCAGGTATGGGTCTCTTACCCGGACACGTGAGTCCCTGCCTAGAGGAATATATGTGGGGAGGAGTCTGGCCTCTGTTTTAGTACATCTACTCTGAGAACTGAGGAAAGAAAGCCATCACCCTGTGCCAGAGACCCCAGCAGACACGGCCAGGGAGGGAGGTGAGCCCTTACTTGTGGGAAGGAAGGTTTGCCAAGTGAAGGGGTGGTTACTTACTGACTTGGCTCCTCCACCATGGCCTCTGCACTTTCCTGCTGGGCAATCCTCTTCTTTTCTTCTTTCTCCACCAGTTTTCTCATAGGGTCTTGTAAGCTCTTGATTGTGATAATGGGAAAGAAAACAAAAGCAAAAGAAACATCAGTTAAAAACTCAACTGCCACTGGACCCAGTCATCAAACCTTGAATGAGACGTTTAGGGAGGTAACCTTGAACCAATGAAGTCAACAGCAATGAAATGTTATGTTCTCGGACCCATCCAAGAAATATGAGCTTGTAAAGGAGAGTTGTTTTGTCACCAGATTTATGTTTTCCCTTTTGTGATAAGTTATTCAAAAGAAGGCCTTTTGGCAATTGCTAACTTTATTTTCCATCTTTAACATGCAGCTAAGATAAACACTCTGTTCTGTCTGCAGCCCACACACTGACAGAACAGAAGTTTGCTCTCCCTCAAAGATGAGACAATTTTATTTTTAATTTTGTTTGCTATTTTGCAATCTAAAACAGCTTATTTTTGAAAAACAAAGAGCAAACAAACTCCCCCCACTTTTTTTAAAACCCAAAATAGTGGCTTAACATATTCTGACAAGTTAATTCCCACGAGTAGACAGAGAGGGTGCATTTAAATCTTCATAGATTAAGAACGGGCGAGAGTCTCGTTTTGGCAAATAATTTCTTTGAGTGACTGTTCTTAAAGTTTATTAAATATTTAAGGAAAAGTTTTGTTTTTGTCTTTTTGTAAAAAAAAGCAAGTGCCTAGGAACTGTACACCAGTGACAAAACCTGAAAAAGCAAAAACATTCCTGTTAACAACTGAATAGTGAGTTACATAAAAGATCTCTATTTATGGCCCTAATTATAATTCAAACACAAAGGAAGTATCTCATGATACTTATCCTGCTTCTATTTTTATAACTATTAAAATCCAAGTCCTTATCCTTTGGGTCTTCACCTCTCTGTTCCCATCTTCCTCCTCATCCTTCACTTTTCTAATATGGCACACACACAGAGGAGGCAATTACTTCTTATTCACCAATGGGTGACCAGAGGGCTGGGTGAAGATGGTTTGAAGGCTGAGTCTCAGCAGAGCAGAGCTGGGATTGATTTTGGAGTCTGCTATGGCTTCCCTGGTGGCTCAGATGGTAAAGAATCTGCCTGCAATGCAGGAGGCCCAGGTTTGATCCCTGGGTTGGGAAGATCCCCTGGAGAGGGAGGGGCAACCCACTCCAGTACTCTTGCCTAGAGAATCCCATGGAAAAGAAACCTAGTGGGCTATAGTCCATGGGGTTGCAAAGAGGCAGACACAACTGAGTGACTAACACTTCCACTTTTCATGGACATCAGATGGATGCTGGTGTCACCCCTCCTGCCAGAATAATTTTCCTATTGTGCCCAGGTCATCATGTTACTCTTTTTCTCACAAACCCATGGCAATTTCTTATTTCTTTCCATTTTTAAACTTCTCTGACCAAGTTTTAAGATCTTCTAAAATGTGTTCCCAACCTACTCTTCCAAATGCCTTCCCACCAACCGCAAGAGACTTTCCATTCAATTAGGCTTCTCTCCTCCTGGTTTCCTGTGTGCAAGTTGCTCTCTTCCTATCTTTGCTCATTCTGCTGCTTTAACCTAAAAAGCTCTTTATTTTTGTTATTGTTGTTTAGTCCCTAAGCTGTGTATGACTCTTTGTGACCCCATGGACTGGCTCCTCTGTCTATGGGATTCTCCAGGAAAGAATACTGGAGCGGGTTGCCACTACCTTCTCCAGGCGATCTTCCAGACCCAGGGATTGAACTGCATTAGCGGTGGATTCTTTACTGCTGAGCCACGAGGGAAGTCTAAAAAACTCTCTTTGCCTAACTGTTTATACTCAAAGTCCTATCAGTTTTTGCAAAGCCCCCAGTTACTACCATTTTCCATAAAGCCTCATTCATTGAGCATGCCAAATTCAAGAAAGTCAGCCCATCTCCAAACTGTAGATACATATAGTCTTATTAATATTTCATTATACACATTCTATACTAGGTTTTGTTTCTTAAAAATATTTTTTAAGTTAGAAAAATGACAAAACCACACGTATAATGTTTGGGAAGTGAAAAAAGGAAAAATTATTCATAATTCCATTTCCCTAAAACTGTGAGTTATTATTTTCATATATTTCCTTTCTGATTATTTTCATATTCATCTGCTTACATAATTGGAATCCTTGTTTGTATAGTAGATATTTTTGTAGCGCATAGATGTCCTCTTAACCAATTTATGTAGACATTTCATGTTCAAAACAATTACAGTGCAGAATGTAAGAAAGATTTTACATCTTAAACACTAATATTGAATTAAAAATATAAATGTGCATTCATTTGTCAATAATCTAAATTCTCTTTCAATCTATGTCCCCTGATCGGGGTTCTAAAGCATTTTCTTGCATAAACTACAACCAAACACCGCTGCCATCATTTTTAATGCTTCCCTATCCCTGGACATTTAGATTAGTACACTTGGTTAGCAGTGTTTGAGCACATACCAAGGACCAGGTACTGTTTTGGGTGCTGGGGATCCATGGCGCACAAGAGAGACAAAATTATCAGCAAGCAAGTGGTGGCTCCAGGCAGAGAACTGAAATAGGGGGCTAGAAATTCACAGATCATCGTCTGTAGGAATGTCCTGTTCTAGAAGTGATATTTCAACTAAGAGCTAAATGGCACCAAGGAGCCAGCGACAGGCAGCTCAGGGAGGCCACAAGGCCAAGAGGTAGAAACAGCTTGGCTTGTTTGGGCTGTGGTGAAGGGGTAACAGGTCTCAGGAGACCCGGATAAAGAGGTCAGCAGGGGTCACACAGGGAGGCCGTTCCTTTCCTTGACTCACACGCCTTACTACTTAACATTTTTCCCCCATTAGTTTCCTCATGCTCATTTGCTTTTTCCATCTCTCCACTGCACGACAACTAAATGGAATCCACGATCCTGGCCTGGAGGGGGAAATGCTATGAAGGGCAGCATTGGGACAAATGAGGCAACTGGAATATGGGCTGCACTCTGGCTGTTCTCTCTCTCTCTCTCTCTACACACACACACACACACACACATATCTGCTAAAAGCTGGGCACACATGTGTAAGTGTATCTTGAAAATGTGCAACCACAACGAGGAGTTCAACAGATGTCAAGGACTTACTCTTTTCAATTGAGCTGCCAATCATGGCATTGTATTCATATACACACACACCCCCCGCTTCCAGCAGTTTTGTTATCCATAGAGTGGTCCAACCCTGGTCAAAGTGAAGCCAGGAAGTTTCCAGCCAGTGCTCCGGAGGCTACAAGTCTCGCTTTTAGATTCTGGGACACGGGCTCGGGCCTGCCGGTCGGCTCCGGCTGCCTCCTCGCTGCATTTCCCTTGAATCCAGCAGCGCTGGCGGGGCCGGGGCGGCCCTCAGCCGGCCGTGTCTGGCTGCCACAGTGCCTGCCTAAGCCCCTGAGATGCCCTTGACAGCGCCACGGTTATCATCCTTTCTGTCTCCAGCCTGACCTCCCCTCAGAACCACACTCCAGCAGCTCTCAGACAGCCCCTTTGTAATGTAAGCCACTTATTCCTTCTTTTCAGCCCCTGCCCCCGTGGGGCCATTAGCAGGGACTCAAGTGTTCGCTCCCTGTCGCCACAGTCACAGTTAAGTCACTGCTGTTCTTCACCCACAGAAAGGCCGCGGTTCCGACTGCTACTTTAATTTATTATCAGTAATTCCTGTGACGATCACTCCTTTCTTCCTACTATTTACATTGCCCTTAAAACAACTTGATTGTTGTCACTCCAGAGAGGTACTCTGTATGCACTTGTTGGTTGATAAATTAATGTACATAAGGTTAAACTGCGAAAATTAGAGCTCTTTAGATAGGACATTCTAAGGCTCAGGGGAATAATGTGAAAAGGTTCGTAAAATCATAAGCAAAATGAATACTGAGCACATGGGCTTATTTATTAAATATCAGAATTTTGAACTAAGGGGACTCGTGTGTATGTATCTCTACATAATTCATATACAACAATTCACTCATTTAAAGTGTACAATTCAATGGTTTTCAGTGTAGTCCCAGTTGTGCGATTATTGCCACAGTCAATTTTAGAACATTTTCAGAAGGCATCTCTTGTATTAAGAAAGAGACTTAGACCAAACTAAGCTATGTGTTCCTCTATAGAGCAACGGAAAAAACCACACACCAGCACATATGGAACTTGTTTCTTACCAAAGATGGCACACATTGAAGATATAAAGAGGCTGAGAGGAGCTCTGAAACGTTACGGAGGACAAATCATGCCTGCCTTCCTCTCTCAAAATTAGTTCCTGGGTGTGACTGTCAGATTCAGGATACGCTGCGCAGTGAATCACGACTCCTTCCCAGGTTTGATGACAAAGGCCCAAGTGGGGGCAGGGGGTTGGAGGTGAATTCTTCAGATTATTTCCAAGTCCACAACTCAGCTGAAAACACTTAACCCTGCAGCATCCTTAAAAGTCAGAGGTGACAGCATCTTCTGTGTGACACGAACATCTGCTCAGGCAAAAGGAATCTCAGAGGCCTGGCTGACTATACTGACCAGGCAGACGTCACATGGAAGTAGTTTGAATCACTGATGGATGCCACCTTCCCATCCATATCCAGAAATAAAATGTCAAAGCATTCTGTTTCTAAACCCCAAACCCTCTAGGTCCTTCACTGAAATTGCTTGTGAAAATCACTGTGCATTAGAAGTGATACAGCCTCATGTAAGACAGAAAGGTTCTTTTGTGAAAGAGGGAATGTTCCTAGACCAAATAATCTTTCTCTCTTAGGGCTGCACTGACATGCTAATAGTTTCCATCAATGCCTAAATGGTTTCAGGAAGCACACACACAACATATAAGATCAGCGTGACAGAGGAAACACACAGATTGAGCTTGCAAAAGTGTCTTAGAGAGGAAACAGCTTAATATAATAATGGGAGTTACTACTTCCTGTATTAGGAAAATAAAAGCAAGAGCAACATTCAATTGAATGAAAGAAAAACTACTCAGCAAAACAAATTTCACAGGCAAACACCAGCAGCCAGCCCTCATCTAACGACCTACATGT